AGTGAAAATCGTTCACATTTGACATTTCTATATAATTATGATGGAATTATTTTTCTTCCGTTACGTAAATATGCAATGTATAGCAATGCTTTTTTTTTTTCAAAATTTACTTACATCAAGTTGCAGCCACACTCTTGAATAAGACGTGGACTGGCATCAAAGTATATCGACAGAACTATTTAAATTCTATGCAAAAAAGGACACAACATACTTCATCGTTTTTTTTAAATCGTTTCCTGCTAAGTCTTTTCAATTGTTGCCTCCCAGGTTTCTGCAACTCGAAAGCTAAACTGAACACAGAAATGGCTGAACCGGTCGTTGTTCCTGCACGTAGTAAACATACGGCAACTGTAAGTATACAAAGATGTTTCCTGTATCACGTTTAACTATACGAAATATTTGATATGTTACAAGAACGTGTTTATGGACAGTTAAAAACTAAAAACCCTATAGCTCTGTAAGTGTCATGTTTCCACATAAAGGTTTATGTGAAAATCCAAACAATGCAGGTTCAAATATTTGTAGTTACTGATAATTCTGGTACGTTCCTAATACATATTACATATTAGAATGGGGGAGTACAGACCTCAGGATTGATCATGAAAAGATTAAAGCAGAGTAATGAAAGCAAAACTGGTCTGGTATCTCCCGATTGTAATTTTTGATATAATTGTTAGCTACATTAATGCAACTGATCTTTTATGATCTACGACATTTTGATACTAAGAAATTTAGAAATTTGCATCAGAAATTTCAATGGAGATTGAACATGGAATCAATTTGATAATATACCGCCTATGTAGTTTATGAATTCCTTGACGTATCTGATAGTGCCAATAAAAGATTTCGTGAACTTCAGATTATATTTCTTCACGGTCTCGGTGACACTGGTCATGGCTGGTCTTCAGTTTTTGCGGATGAAATACGGCATGATCATATCAAATATATCTGTCCGCATGCGTAAGAATTATTTGTTTTAATGGAAAACAGGCAATGTAAATAAATGAAACTTCAATTTAGAAAATATTGAAAAGCCGACCTGTAGATAGCTTTAAAGGACTTGGCAGAGCTTAAGATTTTTTGTCCATTCGTTTGAGTTGTGTCAAAAGAGATTCATCATTTAGATGAAGATGATTGGATCTAAAAATCATAAAGTATGGGAAATGATTGATTGTTTTGTATAAACTTCTGGAATTGGAGTATTACAAGTGTTTATTTAATGAGTTCAAGAAAAAAATACTACAGTCCTGTTTTTTTACTAGCTTCTCTACATGTTAGTGGGAATATTTACTTTTGGTTTTATTGTTATGGTGAGCTAAAAAAAGCAGCTTATTATCTGTAAAACACATTTGAGGCGAATTTCATTTATTTTATATTTTATGATTACTTTCAATAGCAATCTAAATTCTTAATGATATTTATAGCCCAACAAGAGCTGTTACATTAAATTTTGGCATGCAAATGCCAGCATGGTATGATTTGTATGGGCTAACACCGGATGCAGAAGAAGATGAAGAAGGCATTGATGAATCAACAATGATCTTACATTCCATGATAGATGCTGTGAGTTTCATTAAATCATATTTAGCATTTCCAATCTTCAAATCAAGAGAACATAGATTTGTATACTGATATCTTGTGTATAGTCACAATTCGAACACTTATTATATCTTCTTACATTCCATGACAGATGAATGTAAACTTCGGAATGTCTCTCAGTTTTCACTGGGCTTTAAACTATAATACTTTGAATTCAAAATCTCTTCGAATTTTTCAGGAAATTGAATCCGGCATTCCATCAGAGCGTATAATGGTAGGAGGCTTTTCAATGGGTGGTGCATTAGCACTGTACGCTGGACTGATATATGATAAACCACTTGCTGGAATAATTGGTCTCAGTTCATTTTTGGTACAGCGGAAAAAATTGCCTGGGGTAATTCTAATGAGAAACAGTCGCTGATATAAAAAAATGAATTATAGATGCATTTAGAATCTGGAATTGCCTAGTTTCGAATAAGATTTAGTAGTGTTTTAATGGAGTTCGAATTTTAGCATTTTAGCGCTAATATCAATTTAATCACATGTAAGTTTTATGTAAGGATTTTTACTGTTATACAGAGAACTTGGAAAATATTTCTGAATGCATTGCCGAAAATTTTCTTTGTTCATCGGAAGAGCTGCTTTCCTTCTTTTTTTTTTATTTTATCCATTTCTATACCTATTGCGATTTAAAGTTTTCAAAAGCTTGTCATTTCTTTTGGAACATTGACAATTGCTTTTTATATTGCAGCATGCTTGTAAGCTTTTAATCAGTTTTGTGCTTATCAGTCTTGGTATTTATCACTATAAAAGATACATGTTTTTCAGAATCATACAGCTAATAAAGGTGTGCAGATATTCATGGGCCATGGTGGTCAAGATTTCTTAGTACCTCTTTCCTTTGGCCAGATGACAGAAGCATACATCAAAACTTTTAATCCGAATATATGTATGAAAGTATACCCAAGAATGGCGCATAGTAGTTGTTCCGAGGTATTTATTAGTTCATACACTAGTATGTTGAATTCATCGTTTAAATCATAAAAAAGCAGTAATTGCTTTTTTATGTAAATTTATTGTAGTTCGGTGTAATTACACTATATTTATTTTACACTTTAATACTGTATAATATTGCATCATAAAAAACTTCTTTTTACTTATAGTGATAAGTGAGTAGATGACTTGAAGGAGCTATCGAAAGAGCAGAAAAACTGACACTTTTTTAACAATGAACGTTTATTGCTTATATGTGAATAAATGTTATATATAATTTTTTGTATATACAATGCAGTTTTTTGCAGGAGCTTGTTGATGCTAAGGAATTCATTGCACAACGGTTACCACCGATATAGTTGATGTCTTATAAGCAGAATGTAGTTGAGATGTCGTCGTTTCCAGTATTTTCATAGAATGTGTAATAAAATTGCTTCATGTGATGTTGTTAGAATTTGTATGATTAACGCATAAATATTAAATGTCGTTGGAATTTTCATTTCTTTCTCATTTCCACTGCTTTATGCGGTTTAATATTTAAATTACTGCTAAAGTTGTACATGTAGCTATCGTGAATCATCTTATCATATAAAAATTCGATCGATATTTCAAAACATGTTTTCATATTGTGCTTCAAGTTAGAAGGAATGTGATTCCTACCATATGGCCTATTAATTAATAGAATCTTATCTGACATAGCATCTATTAATTAATAGATGCTATGTCAGATAAGATTCTGATGTCTGTTTTCTTTTTATCGTGTAGAAAAGATTTTAGCGGACTGGTTGGAAAAATCGTTTCCTTTGCAAAACATGTTTGTAATTAATAATGATAATATCAGAGACATACTTTCATTCTGTAATTCGATAATTAGATATTTTCTACTATTGTTGAGATTTTTTAGTTGAGGAAGTTTAGCAGTTCAGTTTTTAAGATTTCGACTGAAATTTCAGGTGTGCATTTGTTTGTGTGAATGCCTTTACGCTTTCGAATAAGGTGATAATTGGTGAAATAACTGTCAGATCAGTTGATTTCACATAATTTAAGCAGGAATGCGGCAAAAGAATTATATTTTGTTTGTGATTCTGCAGTTCTTTAGTTTATTCCGTATTGAACAGGGATTTTACGTCCCCGGTGTTGCACCAGTTGAATTTAGAAATGGTGACCCGATTGAAGTGAAGGTTAGATTTTATTCAAATTATTCATGCATTCGTTTAAGAAGGGGCTTCATTCGAATTTGTTTTTTTTTTAATTAATGATTAATAATTATGGATTGATTCTCAACATGTTAATTAATGCTTGTGCGAATCATCGGGCTTCAAATATTTGAGGAATAGTTTCTTGATTAAAAAAAAAAAAATGAGCATTTGTGTATGATCTAGAAATATGAAAATTTAATACTGACTGTAAAATCGTCTTCTGTGTTATGTCAATCTTACTATTCTGTGATACGTCAGTCTTAAAAAGGTGCAGAAATTGTGGAAAGCGATATGCAAATATTTCTGGTCAAAATGTGAACCGCATTCTTGAAAACAAGAGTTGAAGAAGTCAACACTGGCTTTTAGTTCATCAAATTTCAGCACTTTGCGATGTGGCTTAAGGTATTAACGATCTCTGGTAAATATGAGAAAATATAATCTGTTGTTTTCAAGCTTTTGGGACTTATCAATTTAATTTCAGGGCATAAAAATAACATCAACGAAGACAGTAGTACCATATGAATATTATTCGTTGCCTTTTTGTCGCCCCCAAGGCGCAATACATTATATTTCCGAAAACCTGGGTGAGGTAATGCGCGGTGATCGGATCGTAAATACACCTTTTGCAGTTAGTTTTAAAACTTATTTAGAGGAAAATAGATGAAATTAAGGGGATGTAAAAAATTCGATGTTCAGAGCAACTAATGACTGATTATACTTTTTTAATGTTTTGAAGAGCTTGTAGATATCCATGAAACGTGATGTAAAATGCGACACAACATGCTCACCACGTATTCCGGTGTCTCTTAGCCCGGAAGATTCCGAAAATTTAGCAAGGAGAATTAGAGAGGAATATCATGTGCATTTGTAAGTACATCTGTCCTAATAGGAATAAAATTTTACAACTTTGTAGTTAAAATTTTACAACTTTGTAGTTAAAACACAGTTTTAGCATTCTTGTGAAATTATTGATTGAGTTAATAAGTTGGTAGACAAACCAGTAAACTGATGGTTGTTGGATAAAACAATTTTGATATGACAGCTGAATTTTTTGGGTGCTGGGTATAAAACTTACTGCGAAATTCCATCTATTGCATTTCAATATAAAGCATTGATATTTGATTGTTTCTTTTAAGACTGTTTAAAACACAATTTTTTTTAGTGATGATTCACTATCTATAAATTTAAACTATAAATTTTGTTTCCTGCTATCTTATTCAACTGTAAACTTTAGATTAGTTGATAATCTTCCATGTACTACAAGATATCAAATTGAAAGTACAAATGAAGTGATTTATGAGAACGGGTATCGTCTTGGATGGGAAGATGATGGTCATTACTATGTAAATAATCACCTTGATATAATTCTACGCTATCATCAACCGAGACCGGATGTTTATCGTGTTGTTGGTTTTGAAGTACAACCGCAGAGTATTGATAGCAGTCGTTTTAAATTTGCTTCTGATTCATCGGTTTGATTTTTTCCTACAATTTTGAACTATCAACATTTTTTGATATTTCATATGGTAACGTTGATTGTCAGTCGTTATTTTTATTGATATCAGTATAAATAAAAAGGTTTTGCAGAATTTGCCCAATTTTTAAAACAAGCACATCATTTAGGATTTGATAATATGGTAATCAGAATTTTGATCAGAATAATATAAAATCATTGTTCAGCAATTAATCTTACATATTTCAGGAGTGTGCAATAGCTGATGGAGGTAGTCAGGAAGTGAAAAAGGGTATAAACAATATAATTTGGACCTATTCAGTGACTTGGGAAGAAAGCAATGTTCCTTGGGCTAGTCGCTGGGATGCTTACTTATCCATGAGAGATGTCCAAATCCATTGGTTTTCAATCGTGAATTCGATCATTGTTATTTTGTGCTTATTTGGTATGATCATTGTTTTTATGTATTAGATAAGTGATTTGAATATAAGTGATATATATATACTTTTTAGAAATTTTGGTTTATTTGAATATAATCAGCGATAGAGTAGACTGAGTGTTTTTGATTCGTTTCCATAAGGTATTTTTTTACTTTTCCAGGTTTCCTTAGCGTTATCATTGTTCGAACTGTACGAAAGGATATTGCGAAATATAATAAAGGCGAAGAGTTGGTTTGTAATCGTTTAATTCAGTTATTATTTTTTTTTTTAAAAAACTGGTTGACAGCAAATAACTTTCTTTAATAATTGTGATCATTGTAGGATGACACTTTGGAAGAATCTGGATGGAAATTGGTTCATGGTGATGTATTTCGTCCGCCTCCTAGTTCCATGCTTTTGGTAAATTTTGTTGGTACAGGTATTCAGCTCATTGGTATGGTCGCCATTACGGTTTTTTTTGCTATGCTAGGAATGTTATCACCAGCAAGTCGGGGATCGTTAATGTCTGCAGCAATTGTTCTATACTGTTTAATGGGTCTAGTTGCTGGTTATCATGCTGGTCGTCTTTACAGGACGTTGAGAGGTTATTTTTTGGTTTCTAAAAATTTTCAAAAATAGATTTTGGATTTGTTTGTGTCGCTTCTAAAAAAGACTGTTTCTTTAGAATGAAAAAAAAATGAGTAGAAATCTCCTTGAAATTCACGTTTATGTTTACAAAGGGGTCGATTTTACATCCTTAGAGGCCCTCTTCATTCCACAAATTGTGATTTTGAAATCCACTATTTGAATTCAGTTCAAAACCGTAGTAGTTTCGAACAAATAAATGAAAAAATAAAAAAGCGGAAAGATGGTTAAAGTGTTTGGAGCAGTTACTTTCCTTGCAACATATTTACATCATGCACTTTACTGCATGAGTCCTAAATCCAAATCAGAGTCCCCAGTGAATTGGTTAACTTTCTTATCTATTTTTCCCAGATCATTCGAATAATAATTCGTGCAGTTAAGATGTTTCATTTGCACTGCTGAATCTTTTCATATTTATTTTGTTGATCAATGGAAAATTGGTGTTTTTTAAAACAGTTTGCTGTCAGGTACAAGTCCACGAAAATGTGCATTTCGGACAGCTGTGCTTTTTCCTTCAGTCATTCTCGGTACTGGCTTTTTGTTGAACTTTTTCCTGATCGGGAAACATTCATCTGGAGCTATACCGTTCACTACGATGATCGCACTTCTGCTTCTATGGTTTGGAGTTGATCTACCGCTTGTATTCCTTGGATTTCATTTTGGTTTTCGAAAGCAGGTATGTTTTTGTAACATCGCACAATTTTTCAGAATGGGACATAGTTTATTATATATGCACACTGATTGGTGCAAATTTCTTACATCGGCAGATAAGATGCTCTTAATGGCGTATTCTGACAGACTTTCAGTCAAGAAAATTTCCTTACCATCCATTTTTTCTTGCAGGCTTATTCTCATCCGGTTCGTACAAACCAAATTCCACGCCAGGTTCCAGAACAACCTTGGTATTTGCATACGTTACCGTGTATGCTTCTTGCAGGAATTCTTCCATTCGGAGCTGTTTTCATCGAATTGTTCTTCATATTTTCTGTAGGTCTTCGAGCCAATTTGAAATTTATTTTTTTCGAACTTTGTAACGGTTGAGAACCTTACTGAACAGTAGAATTGAGAATCTTATTGATAACAGAATTAACAACTGACACTGTGAGATGAATCTGTTGTTAGCGTCACAAGTCATGGATTTATGCTTATTGTTTTAGAATTGGCCAGCACAACATTAGCGTTAAACATATTGTTTTCTATAATTGTACAGTTCTGGTAGTTTTTACTGATGGGAAAAATGCTGCTGTAGTGGCAATGTTTTCATCATTTCTCATTTTTACAATTCGTTAATAATTCGTTAAATCTCATTTCACTTCGAATTCAATTTTTTTCAGGCTATTTGGGAAAATCAGTTCTACTATCTTTTCGGATTTCTGTTTATCGTCTGTGTTATTCTCTTCATATCATGCGCACAAATCTCCATTGTTATAGCATACTTCCTTTTGTGCGCTGAGGTTTGAAATTTCAGAAGTTGTGAGAAAAATCGTACTTTTCCCGTAATTTTTTTGCGCAATCTCATAATCTGAAATTGAAATCAGATAGATGAAATAAACTGCTAACTTTATGCTTAAAAAAATTGGAACAAATTAGTAAAACTTATTTATTTGCTATATTGCAGAATTATCATTGGTGGTGGAAGTCTTTTGTAATCAGTGGTGGATCTGCAATTTACGGTATGTTAATTACTCGTTGGAGGGATTTGTAATTGAGGACAGTTTCTAGCGTTTATATAATTCATTTAACATGCGATTTCATACCTCACGAGGCAATTAAGATTATAAAATAGGTTTTTTATTTTTGAATATCACTCAATATTTAAAATATTTTTGCACTTTCCAGTGATGGGATATGCAACATTCTACTACTTTAATAAGGTATGTTCGAACTTTTGTTTCTTTTTATTCGCTGTTGCATATTCGTAATGCTATTTGTAATGCTGAGCCTGAAAGTGGACATGTTTTGACAAAAGTTC